GACGGTGCCTAATCGAATAGGCAGCAGTGAGTACTCGCAGACCATGCACACCATGGTGCCAGCACCGGCATCGTAGTCCATCAGGAAGTCAGCACGCCATGCTGGGTCAAAGGGCTTGGCCTGGGGTGGGGAGGGTGCTGGTGGGGCCTTGCCCCGCGCCTGCCAGCTCTGCAGGGTGCAGCGGACAGTGCTGGGGCTCAGGCGGAGGCGCCGGGTGATGCCATGGTGAGAGTAGCCCTTGCGGCGGAGGCGGGGGACACCTGGGTCCAGATCCTGGCTGGGCAGCGCAGAGACGGGGCAGTTGCCAACTGCAGAGAGGGCAAAGGGTTAATGCTGAGAACCAGCAGCCAGCACTGAAAAGCAGCTAACTCTGGGGTGGGGGCTGTTTATACAGGCACCCGTCACCAGGCACTGAGATGCAGCTGCCTCTGGGGTGGGGCGTATAGGGGCTGTTAATATAGGGATCCCATGTCCAGCAGTAAGATGCAGCTGCCTCTGGGGTGGACTCTAGTGGGCCACTAGGGACTCTCCCCACTAACCCACCTTGCCACACTCACCTGGGTTCCCTGCGCCCCGTCTCACAGTCCCTGCTTTGCCCAGCTGCTTCTGTCTCTTCTCCAGTGCCTGGGTTTTGCTCCTGTCCCCTGGGCTTTTCCGTTCCTGGATGCTTGGATTCTTCCTTATTTCTCTCCCTCCAGAAGCTGCAGGCAGAGAGGGGTCAGCAAGGGGGGGGGGGGGGGATCACTGTGCCTCCTCTCCCTTCACCACCCACCATGGGTGTCCTCCCCAGCTCTCCCAAGGCATGTAGGTTGGGAAGGGAGTGCCTGCCCCTTGTCTCCCCCCGGGTCAGGATGGAGTCACCAGTGGGTGTGAACTCAGCTGGCCTCCAGCCAAGGGGAACCAGCAAGGGGCAGCATCTGGGGCTGGGAGCTAGCTGAGATCCTGGAGGCTGATCTGTGGGGGCTGGGATGCAGCTGGGAACCTGGAGGGATAGGACAATGGGGGCAGAGGGAGGGGGGGGAAGAGGTGTGCCTTCAGCTCTGCTCTGGGGGAAATGGGGGTGGCTGCAGGGGACGCCCTCTTTCCTACAGCGCCCTCACCTGACTGGGGTCTGCAGTACAGCCTGAGCGTGAATCCGGCTGGGAAAGAACCGTCAGTGAAGAGGCGGATTTCGGGGGGCGCTGAGCTGGGGGCAGCCTCCTCTGAGGGGGACGTTGTCCCTGTGGGGAGAGACACAGCAGTAAGGGTGGGGTAGGGACTGAGAAAAAACCAAGATCCTGGCTCCCAGCTCCCCTGCTCTAACCCACAGACCCCACTCCCCTCCCCGGGAATTGAACCCAGGAATCCTGCTCCCTCTCCCCTCCACCCCTACCACTCACCTGGACTCACGGTGCCCCTGTCCCGTCCCTCACTCAGCTGCTTGCTCCTCCGCTCCCTGGCTGGTAGCGCCATGCCCTCCACAGGCCCCACGCTCTGTCGTCTCCTCTGGCCCCGTGGGCGCTGCCCAGGCTCCGGGGCCCTAGCATCTGCGATGAGACACCTGGTGTCACAAGAGGAAGCCCCAAAACAAAGGGGATGGGCACCCACATGGCTGAGCATGGTCCCTGACCCCCAGCACCCGCCCAGGCCTGGCACTCACCTGGGCGGGGGGCAGGGCGCCCTCTGGGCTGCCCACGTTTCCGGGTTACCGTCTGCTCCTCTGGGTCAATTAGAACCTCGATCTCGGCCGGTTCCCTGGCCCCATGGTACTGACCTAGAGGGGGAGTGAAATTCTGGGATGGCTGCATCACTCCCCGCCTGCTGGTGCCCTTCAATCCCAACCCATAGCCCTGCTCCCCCCCTGCCACAGCTCTCCTGGTGCCTCTTGCTCCTGGTCTGCAGCTGCCTGCTACCCCAGCCCTGTGCTCCTCCCCACCCCCACTCTGCTGATGCCCCTCAGTGCCGACCCACAGCTCACCTGCTACCCCAGCCCTGGGCCCCCCTGATGCAGGAGGGGCTGGGGAACATACCTGGGGTGCAGGGTGGGGGTGCCCCCTCGGGCAGGTTGCCCCCCTGGCTCCAGGCCTCCAGAATGTTGCGCTTCTCCTCCGGGCTGAGGCTCAGCGAGTGAGCGTGGTGCTGCAGAACATGCTCCCGGGCAGCACTCGGCCCACAGGTACCCAGGAAGGTGCCACAGACCATGCACACGGCCCCGCCGCGCCCCGGGCAGTCTCCCACTAAGTACTCCTGCTGCCAGGCCCTACCGGGCCCTGCCTCTGCTGGTGCTCCCCCTAGCCAGAAAGACAAAATGTGCTCAGGGGAGCGAGAACCCAGGAGTCCTTGGCACCCAGCCCCCTTAGCTCTCACCACTAGACCCCGCTCCCCTCCCAGAGCAGGGGCTAGAACCCAGAATCCTGACTGGAAAATCCATACCTCTGTCTAGAGGCTCCTTGTCAGCCTCCTCCAGCTTAACCCCGGGGGCGAGGCCACCCACGGGGGCACAGAGCTGGGCACAGGCTGCAATTGGCACTGGTTCCTCTGCCTCGCACTTCAGCGAGACGGCGATGTACTCCAGCCGGGGCACCTCTGCCTTCACCTCCATGGCTGGGCCTGGGCAGAGCTAGGAACAATGGGGGGAGGGGTTAGTCAAGGCACTCAGGAGACCCCGCCCCACTCTAACCACTAGACCCCACTTCCCTCCCAGACCTAGGGAGAGAATCCAGGAGCTCTGAGCCCCTCCCTCCCTAGGCGCTGGCTGACCTTGGGCAGAGCTCCCCCACCTTGCCTTCTCTTTCACTGCCCCCAACCTCAAGGCCGCCCCCGCCCCACCCCCTTCTTATCTCCAGCCACTCAGGCCTAGCAACAGCCCCTTTGTGCTCTTCTGTGGGAGGCAGAGTCCCAGCTATGGGACAACCCCATCCCCAGTCAGGCCACTGTGGCAGGGAACCCCCAAAAGGACACAGTGTCTTGCCCCTTTCTACCCTGGGAAATACATCCCTCTCCCCCCGCAATCCCTGTGAGCCTCCTCCCAGTCCCCCCACATCTGCTCACTGACCCCTGAACTAGGGGTGCTGGAACAATTTGTATAGTAGGGGTGCTGAGAGACATTGAACCAAATTGTAAACCCTATGGAAATTTCTTCAAGCACTCCCCACTCCAGCACCTAAGCCCTCAACACTTCATTTCCAACCTTCTTTCCCCACTGACCCTGGAAACCTCCCCTTCTTCCCAGACCCCCATAACCCTGGGCATCCCCTCTGAAGCCCCCGCCTTTTCAATTCCCCTGCTCTTGGGAGTGCCCCCCACCCCCAGGAACTGTTGGCCCCAATGACAGTTGGAGCCTTCCCTTCCCAAGTGTCCACCCCCACCCCCTTGACCCTGGGATCACCTCCAGATTCCCTCCTTCCTGGCCTCTCCAGTGACCCTGGGAGCCCAGCTGCTCAGTTGTCCCTTCATCCCCGTCTGCTGGCTGCCCCACACGGGATGGTTGCAGGGCCATCGGGCAGCAGGAAAAAGGAAGGGGGAGGGTCACTCCCACTGGAGCCTGTGTGGGGGCTTTAAGGCACCAGCTACAGGGGGGTTGAAGAGGCAGTGATCCTCTCCCAGAGCCAGGGAGGGAACCCAGGAGTCCTGACTCACTGGCTGAAAGATTCCAAGATGGACACGCCAGATTGCAAAAGATCCCAAAGTGGTTTATAACCAATGCACCAGGTACCAAGATGCAGCCACCTCAGGGGGGAGGAGGGGGCAGGGCACAGGGGCCGATTAATAACCAGACATCCTTTGCTATGGAAGAGGGGCCCTCAGAAGAGCAGACCAAGCTGCACCCCACCCTGCAGGAATAGAGAACCCACCGATCCTTCTATGGGTCTGGCCTCCTGCCCCCAATCCATGCACAATGACACCCCCTACTGCATCCCAGCCCTCTTCAATAATCCACTCTCTCCTCCAGCGTAACCTAGTCCGCACCTGGAACCCATTCTTCCCATGAGAGTCTGCTCAGTTCCCTAATTCTCCTCCTATAGGGCCACCCCACTGGATCCCAATGACCCCATGCTAAACCTTTGCAACTCTTCCCATATTGGATCCCACCCCCCGAGTGACCCGCACCATCCACTGGATCCTGATGTCAGCATCTTCTTCCTCCCCAGTGGGACCCACACCCCCACTCGATCCCAGCCCCTCTTTCCTCCCCAGTGTGACCTGTGCCTTCCACTGGATCCCATCCCCTCCCCGCATGTGACCCATTCATTCCACTGGATCCCAGACCCTACTTCTTCCCCAGTGTGACCCACACACCCACTGGATCCTAGCTATAGGTGCTGGAACTAGGGGGGTGCTGGGTAGCATCCCATGGCTTGAAGTGGTTTCCATCATATATGGGGTTTATAGTTTGATTCAATGGCTCTCAGCACCCCCACTATAAAATTATTCCAGCACCTCTGATCCCAGCCCCTCCTTCCTCCCCAATGTGACCCACACCCCCGCTTGATCCCAGCCCCACAGCACCCCCATTAGATCCCAGCGCCACCCGCACCCCCACTAGATCCCAGCCCCTCCCCCAGTCTCCCCGCTGGATCCCAGTCCCCTCCCCCAGGCCCCCCGCTGGATCCCAGCCCCCTCCCACCACCGGATCCCAGCCCCTCCCCCCGCTGCCGGATCCATCCTGGCGACCCCTCCCCATTCACCGGCTCGCGCTGCTGCTCCCGGGCCCGGCACCATAGAGTTTCGCGGAGGGAGCGGCACCACCCACCTCCCATCCAGCCCCCACAACCTCCCTCTCTATGGTCTCATTGTCCCGGCTCTCTTAGCTTGGGGCTCCCTCCATTGCGCACAGCCAATCGTGAGAAGCCCGCCGTCCTAAGCTCCGCCTCCTTCAGCGCCGGCCAACCAGTGCGCGGATACGGGAAGGAGTAGGAGGAGCCTGGGGGAGGGGCTGGGCCATGCGCCACCTACCGGCCGAGAGGGGGATTGCAGGATGTGGGAGGGGAGGGGAGGGGCGGGGATTGTAGCGGTGAGCCCCGCTCCGTGGGGACAGGGATGGGGACTGGTCTATATGGGGGCATTCTACAGGGGCAGGCAGAGGCCCACCCCCGGGACAGGGAAGGGAAAGGGCTGAGCCCAGCCTCACGGACATAGGGAGAGGAAGGGAATTCTGTAGGAGATGAGTCCCGTTCCCTGGGCACAGGAAGGGGATTCTATAGGGGAGGGGATAGTATAGCGGCTGAGCCCCGCCCCTGGGGGACAGGAAAAAGGAGAGGGAATTCTATAAGGGATGGGGATTCCATAGGGTCTGAGCCCCACCCCCTGGACACGAGGGGGGGGCGAGTTATATGTGCTGGGCTTTGCTCCCCGAGCACAGCGAAAGGGAATTCTTCAGGGACTGAATCGTGCCCCTCAGGAACGAGGAGGGGGAGGGGATTTTATAAGGGACGGGATTCCATGGGGCAGAACCCGACCCCCAGGACACATATGGGGGATTCTGTAGTGGATGGGGGTTGGAGCAGTGAGAGAGTGTGGGGATGGCACTGGGGATGCCCGTGGAGTGGGAGACAACGTGGGGGGCAGAGGTTTCGCCCAGGCACAGGGATCGGTCTCCTCAGTGCGGGGGCGCTCTGTGCTGCATGGGGTATAGTCGCTCCCAGCACCCCCCTTCGATCGGGGTAACGGGGGCCTGCAGGGAGCGCACCGCTCTGTGTTAGAACTGGGCGGTGCATTGATGGGAGTAGCAGAGACCTGGGGCATTTCAGTGTATCGCAAACGCCCCCTTATAGCCCAGCTCCCCCACTCTCTCCTGGGTTGGGGACTCAGAGTCGCGGGGTGTGTATGAGAGAACTGGGGCTGCTAATAACCATCGGAGCCCCCTTATATCCCAGCCCTCTACCCCATATATCCCCGTTCCCCTCCCCGTATCCCAGTCCCCGCCTTGAGTCCTCGCTCCCCTCTCTAGGGCTGGGGAGGGGACTCAGAGTCGCGAGGGGGGGGGGGCGGATGAGACCCGGGGGGTGCCCCCATCTCCTTCCCCCCACGCTGCAGAAATAGAGCGCGGCCCCTTTAAATTTACCCAGGAGCCCTTAAAGGAGCCCCAGGGGCCCCAGGCAGGAATCCCCACCCCGGCCGGAGCAGCCTGGCTCGGCCGCAGCCGCCGTACGGAGCCCGGGAGTCCCCTCCCCGCGCGGGCAGGGCTCTGCGGCAGCCCCGAGCCTGCCCCGCGGCCCCGGCGCGGATGGACAGGCGGCCGGAGGGGGGCGGGTGCTGACGGACGCACGGACAGAGGGATGGAGCCGCCTCCCTCTCCTCCCCCCCGCCGCCCCGTCAAACGGGAGCCCCTGGACCCGGAGGCAGGTGAGAACAAAGGGGGCGGCCGGCGCCCCCTGCCGGCCCTGGGGTGTGCAGGCGCCCAAGGGACCCGGGTGGGGGGTGACGGTCCCTTTAAGACTCCCTCCAATGGTCCTTTGAAGCCTTAGAACCCCCCCTCGCCCCTTTAAGACTCTCGCCCCCTCCTTTAAAGCAGCAAGCCCCCCATTTTGTAAGGAACGAATCCTCTATCCTGCTCCCCCTATGCCCCTTTAAGACCCCCCTCCCTAAAGACACACAGTCTTATAGAGCAGGTCTCCCCCCGCCACTGTCCACTCCCACTGCCGCTTTAAGGCCCCCCACCCATCTTATTGGTCAGGGTTCTTGTCCCCTGCTTCCCTCCCCTCCCCCAGGTCTCTTAAAGGGGTAAGTTCCTCCATCCCTTTTATCCTGTGGCTCTAAAAGGTGTCTCTAGGGCATTTAAAGGGGAGGGGGCACCCACGTTTTTGCTGGGGACTTAAAGGGGCAGCAACCTCTTCCCGTTGCGCTCTCAAGCCTCAGCTCTTAAAGGGGCAGGACGGTCGTGCCCTTTGCTGGGGTCCTAAAGGGCATGGAGCCCTCTGGTCACCGGGCTTCTCTCTTTTGGGTAGGGGCATGGAAGTTGAGGTTGATCCCTCACCCTTTGTCCCTCTAGGTCTTTTAAAGGGACAAGAGCCCCTTCTCTTCTGAGGACATAAAAGGACAATGTCCCCAAACACTGTACATAGCTCTGCCAGTGCCCCTCAATCCTCACCCGCAGCCCCTGGCCATCCCAGCCCTGGGCTCCCCGCACAGCTCTGCCAGTGCCCCTCAATCCCCACCCGCAGGCCCTGGTCTTCCCCCACAGTTCTGCTGCTGCCCCCTCAGTCCCCACATGAGACCCATCCTCCCATGCATACACTCTTGCCAAGATGCCAGGCTACAGTCTCACACATCCCTGCCCATGTGGTTTGTTTCACCAGAGGAATCCCCAAGCCAGGACAACTCCGGCAGCACCGAGGCCCCTGAGTTGATGCTAGGGGGGTCCCTGGCATGGAGGACCCCCAAGGAGCACCCTCTAATGGCCCCAGGGGGGCGGAAGTACTCAGATCACTGTGAGGAGCGGGCATCTCGGCCTGGGAAGAGCCGCATCCCTGGGCGGGACCATCGGCGCTATTATCACGAGCACTGGCGGGCTGAGTACCTGATGGACTTCAACCCGGCACGGCATGGCATGATCTGCATGGTGTGTGGCAGCGCGCTGGCCACCCTCAAGCTGAGCACCATCAAGCGTCACATCCGCCAGAAGCACCCCTACTCCGGGGGCTGGGGCCCCCGTGAGAAGCAGGTCATCATCCAGAGTTGGGACGCCCACCTCGGGCTGGACGGGGAGCTTGAGGGGCACGGAGACCTCGCCCAGGCACCTGACAGCCTGCAGGGAGCACAAGGTAGAGCACAAGTCCTATGCCCCAGGCACCCCCCCCCCCATGCAGCCCTCCGCACTGTTCCTGCACATCCCCATCTCTGAATACCCATCCCCCTGTCCCTCTGCACCCCCAGCACTCCTCCACTGCCCTGGGCACCCACATGCTGCCCTAGGCAACCCCTCCCCTGAGCGCCCCTCTCCTGAATACTCTGACACATTCCTCAAACCTTGGCACCCCCATTCCCTGGGCAGTCTTCCAAAGCATCTCCCCACCTTTCCTTTCCCACAGGCATGCACCCCCACTCCAGAAATCTCTCCTCTAGTCTCTGGGGGCACCTGGGTCTCAATGAGGGCCTGCCCCCCCCCCTTAGGGAATCCACGTTGCCCAAATCCCCATTAGCACCAGGGACCTCGCACTCCCCCCTGCCCCACGCACCCTTCTTGTTGGGCAGCTAAGGCCCTTCCGCTGTAGGGGATGCTCCACTCTGCCCTGGTGTGAGCCCACGTGGTGCCTAGCCCTCCCATTTGTGATGGGGGAAGCTAGTAGCTGGGGAGAACAAGATGGGGGGGGGGGTTAGTGGGAGGGTGAGGGCATGGCAGGGGATGGGGAACTGGGGGGTGACTGACCCATCTCCATCTCTCAGGGGGGCTGTGGGGGAGGGGTATGCAGAAGAGCTGGGGTTCAGGGTTAGGAAGAAAGGGTGGCTGGTGCCAGGGTTAGGGGTATCTGGGGCACTGCCCCATCTCTGGCTCCTCCAGGGGCACTGTTGGCAGGGGCAGATACAGCCTGTGCCCCATGCCCATTTTGCTCAGGTGCTGGGGTCAGGGTTAGGGTGATGCAGGGCGCTGACCTGTCTGTCTCCCCCAGGGTTGCTGTCGGCGGGGGGCGGGTTCCGGCGTCGGCGCCGTGCCCCATGCCCATTCCCACGGGGGGCTGCCCGGCGGCCGGCGCTCGGAGGCAGGAAGGCATCACCCAGCGCCCGCCGGCTGGAGCGCTACGTGCGTGAGTCCCTGCAGAGCTGGTTCCAGGCCGAGTTCCTCATGGATTACGATGCCCAGGGCAACCGGCTGCGCTGCATGATGTGTGGGCGTGGGCTGCCCAGCCTCAACCTGGATGACATCAAGCGCCACGTGCTGCAAGCCCACCCCGCCTCGCTCGCCTTCAGCCCCGCTGAGAAGGGTGCCATCCTGGAGGCCTGGAACTCCCGCGCCCTGGTGCTGGCTGCGGGCAAGGGCTGGGCGCCGCAGGGGGAGCGCCCTGCAGGTGAGGGAGCAGGGAGACCAGGTTGAGGGGACCCTCTCGTGGATGGGGGGGCTGGGGTGGGTGTGGGACCTCAGTGGGTGAGGGGGAGGCTGGAGAGACTGGGGTGAGGGCTGGAGAGTCTGTGGGTGAGGGGAACATTCCCTCTCCTGTGCCCTCTCTGAGGGGGTGGGCTGGGGTAACAGCATGTGTCACAGGTGGGGGCAGTCCTAGCCTTTGATGGGGAGGGAGGGAGAGTGTGTGTGTCTGTGTGTCTATCTGTGGGGATGGGAGCAGAGTATGTCGGTGCTGTTGTGGGACAATCTGTCTGTGCCTATGGGGCACCCACATGTGAACACCCCCCAGCACCTCTGTCTTGATCCCCAACTCTTCCTAGAGCCCGATGCCCCCTCCCCTGGGGACCTTAGTGCTGAGGCCTCTGAGCCAGGCTCGGCAATGGCTGCCCCAGAGCCAGAGGAGAGCAGCTCCCCGGAGAGCTGGGCCAAGGAGGAGCCTGTGGCGCCGTGGGAGCTGGATGCGGGGGGGCCGCTGCGGGGTAAAGACCATCGGCGCCACTTCCAGGAGCACTGGCGGCTGGAGTACCTGATGGACTACCACGGCGAGCGGCACGGGCTGGTGTGCATGGTGTGTGGGGGAGCACTGGCCACCCTCAAGATGAGCACCATCAAACGCCACATCCGCCAGCGGCACCCTGACTCCACCCTGCTCAGCCACCAGGTCAAAGCCCTGATCGTGGAGGAGTGGAACCGCAAGGTTGCCCAGCTGGTGGAGATGGGGGCACCTCTGCCAGAGCAGGCCTCAGGTGAATGGGGGTTGGGGCTGGGGCCAACCAGCTGCTGGCCTTCCCATAGGTACTTGAGACGCTGAGGAGCATGCCCTGCCATCCAGCCCTGGGCACCGGGGTGTTCCATGGGGCAGAAGCCGAGGGCCATGCCCTGCCATCCAGCCCTGGGCAAGATGGGTAGGGGGAGCTGCTGCTAGCGTCTCATGGGGAGAGGGACAAGCAAAGAGGATTCAGTGCTGTGTGGCTGTCTCAGAATAGCCAGGGACAGGGTGACAGGTCAGATGGAGGCAGGGCTGCTGGGGACTTCCTCCCCGCAGGGAAGATGTCAGGGGGTGCCTAGTGTCCAAAGCAAGTGCTAGGGCTGCAGGGAGTAGAGGCAGCCGGGACCACATGTAGAAGCCCTGGCCTGTACTCTGAACAGTAACAGCCCTCGTCTGCCTCCCTCTGCTACCTGCAGTGCATGTGCTGCAAGGACCAGAACCCCACCTGGTGGCAGCAGGTGGTACTGCACCCTGCAGCCCCTCCTGTGTTCCCCCACAGTAGCCCCAGGGGTATTGCAGCCTGCAGGAGCGCAACACATCCCCCCTCGTGGCAGCAGGAAGCATTGCACCCAGTAGCAGCTCCATGAGTCCCCCTGGTGGTAGCGGGCGGCACTGCAGCCAGCAACAGCTCCACAAATGACCCCCAGTCACCAGCAGAGAAGCTGTGTGCCTGACCCACCCCAGGACCTGTGTGAGCACTGGCTTCTTCCAAACCAGCTCTGAAAAAGACTGGATCAGAATCAGCACCAGAGAGGCCCTTCCCCCACACAAAGTCAAGCTGGATTGGAACCAGTGTCCAAGAGGCCCTGAGTCCCCCTGCATTTGGGCTGGATCAGAACAGCACCATAGGTGAATGTCCCCTCCCCCTCGCAGCCAGGCTGGGCTCAGCAGCAGTGCTCTTGAGACACCCCCCACCACACACTGCAGCTGGGCTAATTCCCCCTTCCATGGGGAGGGAGGTGGGTGGGATGTGCCATGTGACATATCCCAGCTGTGGGGTGATCTCTGAGCCATGAGGGTGGGGCCATGGAGCTCTGCTGTGGAGCCACAGGGTCAGCAATTCCATCAAGCCCAGGGATGTGGGAATGAGGCCTGAGTCTGTGCAGTGGGGGGGAGACAGGGGGGCCAAGCACGGTACCTAGCTTAACTTGACCTCGCTCTGTCGCCTTTCCAGGAGACTCCCAGAATCCTTTGCAGCCATCTAGCCCCGAGGAGCTGGATGAGGATGTGCAGCTACCTGCAGAGAGGGAGGGGGAGGAGGAGGAAGAGGAGGAGGAGGAGAGTGTGTTGGTGGTGGGGACGCCCCCATCCACCCCACAGAGCCCCGCTGACCCCACAGCTGGCCCCCAGACGGGCCCGGCACCTGCACCGCGGCGGGAGCAGCGGCGGAACTACCAGCTGCACTGGCGCGTGGAATACCTGATGGACTACGATGGCAGGCGGCACGGGCTGGTGTGCATGGTGTGCGGGGGGGCGCTCGCCACCCTCAAGGTGAGCACCATCAAGCGCCACATCCTGCAGGTGCACCCCTTCTCCTTGGACTTCACCCCAGAGGAGCGGCAGACCATCCTGGAGGCCTACAATGAGACGGCCCTGTGCTATGAGCCTGCCCTGGGGGAGGAGTCTGAGGTTAAGCCCTGCCCCTTCCTCCAGGCCACTCCTGCTGATGGGGAAGAGGCAGAGTTGGCCTGTGCCCCACCCACCAGCACAGCATAGTTGATGGACAGGACTCCATCTTGACTCCTGGGAGCAAGGGTGGGGGGTCCAGGCTATGGACAGACACCCCTTGCTTAGAGCGTTTGTTTGGGAGTAGGATAGGGGGTTCTGCACCCACCCATGCTACAGACGTTGCCCCGTGAACTACACAGCACCTTCCCCCACTCCCATCCCCACCCTGATGCATCTGGTCCTCACGCACTGATACTCCATAGCCCAAGCTGTGGGGTGGGGGAAAGGGCCTCACATGGCCCCCTGTAGCTTTTAATCCCCCCCATCCGAGCTGGGGATGGCACAGAAATGGGGTTGTTGGGGATGGGGTCACATGGGGCTGGAACCCAGCTGCTCAGCGAGCCGGTGGGATAGGGCGTTTGCAAGACATGGGTGGTGGGGGGAAGGGATGAAATCATCTCCCTGCCCGGGGCAGGCACTAGTGAGCAAGGGGGCAGCTGCTCTATTTAAGGGGCCAGTTCCAAACCCCTCCTGGGACTCTTCCCGGCCCCCAGGATAGCTGGTTTGAAAAGCTAATGCTCCCCGGCTGCTGCTACCAACTCCCAGCCTCCCCCGGATCCCATCTGGCCTCCAAACGGGGCCCATCTCTTCCTGTCGTCCCCCCGCATCCTCCCCAGCTGCAGGTTTTCACCCCAGCAGCCTCTTCCTGGCACAGGTGCAGACTGGAATCCATGTCCCTTGGAGCTAATTGGATGTAAGCCCAATGCTCCCATTGACCTCCCCTTTCCCCAACCCACTCCAGGGAAAGTGCCACCCTCTGTGGAGAGTCTAGACTGGCCTTTGCAGTTGTTTATTAGCTTAATTAGCTCCAGGAGTCATCGCACCTCACCTAGATGCAACATCCTAAGAAACTTCCTTGGGCTGAAGTTAAACTGACCCTCCCCCGCTGGCACCAGGGAGCCCCGCTAAGTAACCCGCTCCCCTGCCGAATGCCAAGCAGTGCCGCTCACGTGAGCTGTGCAAGGCCTCGGCCTCCATCACACCCATTTTTATACCAGCCCCAAGGGCGCGTGGATGGTCACCCAACTGGACCACAGCGTTTTATACTCGCTTCCACCTGGTGTCAAGGGGGGAAGCGGGGTCCCTGCCTTGAGCTGTGGGGGCTGGAATTTCAAGTACTGAAGCAAGGTCGGGAGCAGGGCTGCGGCTGGGGGGCCTCGGACGGGGGGTAAGAGAGGTTGAGGCTGGGGGGCCTCGGACGGGGGTAAGGGAGGTCGAGGCTGGGCTGCAGCTGGGGTTGGGGCTGAGGTCTGGAGTGGGGACAGAACTGCAGCCAGGGGCCAAGGCTGGGGGCGGGAGCAGAACCACAGCCGCCAACTGGAAAAGGATGGGTCATTTTCTGCTCGAGCTGCCAGGCTTCACAAGGGTCCTGTCCTAAGCTCCCAGCTGCCCCTTGTGTGGCCAATAGCCCTGTATCCCTCCACCAGGCAGAGGCAGCATCTGTTGAGTGGCAGCGATCCCTCCCCTTCGTTCTTGGCTCTGCACTGGCCCCCCTCTCCCCAGTGATGGGGGTGGGGATTGATGTAGGTGCCCGGGGCACTCCTGCATGGTCCTGTCTCTGACGTAGGCTGGCAATGGGATACTGGTCTAGATGGGCCTAGTGTTGTAATGCAGAGGGAGGAGGGGGACACTGGCTTTGATGGGCCCGTTGGTCTGAGCTGGGGCAGGGAGAAGGGAGACCTGGCCCCATAGGATGCAGGATGAAAGCTCCTTGCAAACCCTTGACAAGCTGGAGCCGCTGGCCCCTGACTGCCATAGACAGACCGGGGCAACGCTGTCTCCCCCTTCCCTGCTTGCCAAAGCTGCTCCTGCTGGCAGCAGAGAACGTGATGCCGCCCTACACTGAGCACACGGGGGCCTGTTCCAGCTGCTACTTTGCTAATGCTAGCCAATGTGCCCCTCCCAGCTGCATTCAGGGGCAGTGGTAAGTGGCTCCCACTTTACAAGGGGGAAACTGAGGCACAGAGGGGCTTTCCCTGTGCTCGACTCTGGCTTTCTGGAAGATGGCCCGGCCTTGCAACTCCAGGGGGTGGGAGAGCCGCTGGAGACAAATCCACCAGCAACCGCCTGTACTTGCACCCTTGCTCCTAGCCTGCTCTGATCAGGGTACTGAGCCAGTTGTGGATCCACACTAGTGCACCCAGCCTCCTTAGCACAGGGGTAGAGTGTTACCCTAGAGCGTGGGGGGAGCCCTAGGGTTACCCCACCAACCCCTTGCTGCTGCCCCCACTTCTCCTCCAAGGCACTGGGGCCATTCAGTTTTGCTCATGTCACTCTAATCATCCATAGTGGGAGATCTTTCAATGCTTCCCCCCCATGTCATCTCTAGGCTGGGGGAGGAGGGGGACCCGCTTTCCGCTCTCTCTGACACAGCAGCCGCCCCCTTGTGCTGGGGCAGCTCTGCTCACGTGCAGCCAGGCTCCAACGTGATGGGTTTTAAGCAGCCTCCTCTTCAAAGTGCACCGGGACAGCACCCTTTGAGGCTCCATCTCCGAGCAGCTGCATGAGCCCATCATCTCCACTTGCTGTAGAGAAGTTGCCTATCAAAGAACAGCAAAATGCAGCCATGGGGCTATAATGCTGCATGGGAGGCAGACCTAGTGGTTAGAGACCTGGCTTCAATTCCCTGCTCCCCCATAAACTTCCTGTGGTTCCTTGGGGAACTTATTTAGGCTCAGTGCCCCTCTCTCTACAATGGGGATAATAGCACTGCTCTGCCTCTTGGGGGGAGGAGGGAGAATAAATGCATTAAGGATTCTGGGGGGCTCAGATCCAGTGGTACTTTAGATGAAAGGTTGCAGCTGATGGGCTGTAGGGTTAGATGGGGGCCCATTGGTCTGATCTGGGAGCATGGGGGAAGCAGCCTGGCTGGGCCTATTGCTCTGAGCCAGGGAAGATACTGGGGGTAGGAGGGGCTCGAGAGGCCTCTGGTTCTGATCCATGCTGCATAATCTAGACCAAAAAGGTGCTTAGATGTTACAGCAGAGTTGCCTTAGCACAGCTGAGGGGGAAGTGAACTGGGGATAGAAACAAGGCCTCATTCTCGTACAGCTCCTCTCCTCTACTGCAAGGAAAAACCCTGGGCCCTGGCTTGGCTCAGGTTGTGACAGTAGAAGGGGGCAGAGCTAGCACGTTACTATCTAGAGCCCATCATGCAGGGCTGGATCTGCTGCTAAACACTCCCCTCCTCAAGGAGGAATAGTCCCCGGACACTTCGGGCTCCGGTAGCTGTGAAGAGCAGAAACCAGCCATAGCAATGGGTGGTGCTGAATTCCCACCCCACACAGCTCTCAGCCGAGAAGGGGCAGGTCTTCCTCCTTCCAGCCAAGCTCTGCTGCAGTCCAGGGTTGGCGGGGGGAGTCTGATGCAAATCTAACAGCCCTACCGCAAGCCTCACGTTTAGTGCCCCATGGCAAGCCCCTCCTTTCAAGAATAGCTTTGGGCTCCAGCCAGCACTATGGCCCCTGCCTGAGCTATTAAGAGCTGGGTGTAGCGATGGGAAGGCAGGAGCTGTGCAGCAGGCAGCTGGTAGAAATACCCAGCTCCCAGCCTTCTAGACTGAATGGCTCTTTCCTGTGAAGCTGCATAGCTAGTGTTCAAGAGCTGCCTTTGTGTAATCATGCTTCCTCTGTGCGCCCACCCCAGCCACGAATGGAGGTTCATAGCTCTTCAGCTTCAAGGTAGAGGCCTGAAGAGCAAAGTAGGACGGTGAGCCCAGGAATCCCTTACCCTACACAGCAGGTTTGGCGGGAGGGTAGAAGACACAAGTTAACATTCCAGGCCTTCATGGGTAACACGCCAAGTGACATCAAGCCCCTGCCCCATGGCACAGGGCTGCTTTTTCACAGGAGCTGCAGGCTCTCCCTCTGGACTCAGAAGGTGCCTGCACCCTGGAGGCATTTTGCTTGTAGATTCTTACCTTGGTTTTAGTGCTAGCTCCAGCATCTCAGAGCATGCTCTAGTGACCACGCCTGATGTGTTGGAAGTGGTTATCCAAGGGGAGTCTTCGTGGTTCCAACGCTGTTGCATGAATGGTGTTCAGAGCCATCTTCTTGGGCTTCCCTTCTTCCATTCCAGCTCTGTATATACCCTGCTCTGGAGAGCAGGTAAGGTGGGTTCTTAACATACAAAGATATGCAAAGTTAGGACATTTCACAGTCTCCATTGGTGCATGCTGCGGGCAAGTCCAGCAAAGCCGGTTTCAGACTCTCACGTGAAGTCTATAGTGATTGGTAGCTGCCATCGGTTTAGGTTTTTGTACTTTACCAGCGTAGGTACCACTAAGATGGTAGGTCACTAGGCACGGGAACAGTCACGCTTGCCAGTGTAGGAGGTAGGTAGCCCAGCTTAGAGGCCTCACTTTCCAGAATTTTCCAGGCGTATGGAGAGTAGCAGCTTGATTCAAATCTCAATCTTCCCTACCACGAATGACGTTACAAAAACCAGGTGGCAGGTTGGTGTCATTTGAGTTACGGACTTAGCTGTGCCCATCTTGACTAGACGCTACAATCATCTCAGTTAAGCCCTACCTGAAGCCTGAGTGGTTTCGAGTGAAATGTTTTTATACACCACCCCTCCCTCCCCTCCAGAGAGCGACTTGCTCCTTGTAGCTACCATGTAAATGTTCTGAATTATATTTATATGCCTATGTTACACTTTAGTGACAGTATTGGAATATTTGTACGTGGTCCTCGTGAAAAGGTGTTTTGCATCAGTATGTTTTTTTATATGCATATGTTTTGTAAACATGTTAAATAAAGCCTTTCAAAAGATGCAGTTTTGAAGTGCATTGATTTGCAGGGTTATCGCCTAAAAAGAACCCTACTGCCATTGCTTCTCCACTGCTTGAGTCTGCAAGATCCTTGCTTTAGGAGCTGGCGTCAATTATAATTCTTTAGGGCAAAGAGGAGCATTCAGAAGAATAACTAAATGGCTCAACTGCAGAGTTTTGTTCACTGATTGAACACCTGGTCTAGCGCAGATGCTCTTAGTCACTTTAGCCGTCTTAAAAATGGTTTAGTTTCTTCCTAAACCAGGTGAACTAAATGTGCGTAGAAACAGATTTAATCATTCAGTGCTACACCTCAATGCAGACAGACACTCTTCAAAACTGGTTCAAGCGTCTGAGATGAGTTTGGATTCCTCTCGACCTGAGTTAGGTTGGTGCCCTGAGCTAAGCAAACAGGGGTAGAAACAGTCAAAGTGGTGGATGAGGTGAGTGAGTGTTTATAGCTCAATGGCAACTTCAAAATACCACACAGCTATTGCGCCAGGCAGCAGGTCTGTGTTGCCATCTTTCCATAGGAGTCTCGCTGATACTCTCCTGCAGAGATGAGCTTTAGCTTGATGACAGAACGGGCCTGAGGAGTGGAGTTGTCAATCACGATCCTCAGCCCAAAGCTTTTAAGATAAGGCCTGAGACTCAATGGCCCAGCCTGAAGAGCAGGCCCGAGACCCTGAGGTCAACAGAGACAGTGGAAGAGAGCCAGAACAACGCCTCACGCTCTGCTCCCTGCTCCCCCAATGACAGGTGAGCTATGGGGAATGCAGATGGCTCGCGTATTCCAGCTGCTGAGGCTAACTCCATCCCACCCACCATCTACCCCGACAATCCCCCAAGACGACTGACACAGGAAACGAAGCTGGGACCTGTCCATGGTGTTTTTTATTAATACCACATCATTTGCAGTGTGACAGGAACCGGGTTATCAGCTCCCGGGGCACTACTGTAATTTATGCTGCACGCACGCACACGCACACACACACACACAGAGCTTCATTAGTAGTTTGTTTCCGGTTTTTTGTCTACATGTTCTACTTTAAAAAAAAACAAAAACAAATTGCCTGGCACAAAGATCTGTTCAACGTATCTCACAACAGCAGTAACAGAACAGATGTAAGAGCTGGGCCGACAGCTTCCAGTGCAGAAGAGGTCCTGGGGAAGGGGTGGAAAGAAGTCAGGGCAGGATGATCAGTGCAGTTTCCACGGGGGAAAGCAGAGAATGTGGTTTGATGCAGTGATGCTGAGAAAAGACCAGGGCAGGAGCAAAGAGGCTTTGAATTCCCTGCACTCATCCCCACAAGCTTTGCTTGGGAAGAAGAGAAGGTGGCCCAGCCAGTTATAAGCCCTATGGCTGTCAGCACGTGGCTTATCAGGCCAGGGGGCATATTCCCTGTAATAGACAACCTGCATCTAGGCTTTGAGTCAGTTGGGCTCAGTTCAAAAGCAGAGTTGTATTTTTTGTTTGAACGCTGCCTCGCAGGGCTCGGAATTCCCATCTCCATTAGCAGATGCTGTGCTAAAAAGGAGCCTGAGCGTCTGTCTCTAAAGCAGCCAAAGCCTCCCTTCTCCCTGCCCCACTAAACTGATACGAGGGAGGTGAGAATCCCCCTCGTCCCCTTGAACCCAAATGCCGTATGAATGGCTCATTCATCCACTGGGCATTTTCCTTCCTCTCCTGTTAGCAGTGCTTCCTTCCCCCTGGAAAAGCAACAGAGGTGGGCTTTTGGTCTAGGTCTCAGCACCGCCACCTTTCACCGGGCACAGCAGGCTGGTTAAAGACTGACTCCTTCTGACCAGAGGAAACTCAAAGCTACCTTCAAATAAAGTTCAGCGAGTTAACAGTGTACAAAAAATACAAATTGTGAAATATGCCGCTCTAAGACTATTCTGCACACTAGAGTGTTAAGTACCATTTCTCCACCCAGCTGGGGTTCAAAGGGACCTTTGCTCCCTGCTGCCAGGACGGCAAGCGGGCAAGGCAGCATGTGGCGCTGTCTCAGTAGTTCAGCTCAGTGGTCACCCGCCCTCCGGGGGCGGAGATAGGAGTTATGACAGCAGAGGAGTCACATGCAGAATTCGGGGGTTGGGGGGTGTTGTTTTTCCTCTACACAAGTTTACAGCAGTGTACAGCAGATACAGACATTTTCATCTCAGAGTAAGAAATAAAAGGTACAACCTGGGAAAGGGGTGGGGAGCACATTGCAGGAACTGGAGAGGAGAGGGATGAACCAGACTAAAGCACAGAACTGATGTCACGTAGGGGTACAAACCCCCCTTTCGATCAGCAAGGGGGAGGGGGCAGTTTCCTGGACTTCCCACCCCACCCTTTTCAGTACAAGTCCCTGACCCCCAAGGAGCCGGCTGGGGGAGTATTTGGGGAGCAGGGAATGTGGAAGTGTAGGAAGCCAAGGAGAGGGAGAGAGGGATGTCTCCTTGCAGCGATTCCCCTTGGCAGGCAGGCAAATGTTTGGTCGAGCAGAGAGCCACCCTGCCCTCATTGGAGGCTGGGAACCGAAGAGGAGCCAGCGTTCAGAGCAGCATTCGGTTCCCTGCGATCGGGGACAAGACCCTTACAATTGTTCAGGTGTGCTGAGGCCTCCCCTAATGGCTTTGACGCCAGGTCTCCTTTAGTCTGGTGCACGTTCTGAGCCCAATTCTAGGCTTAGAAAAGCAAATGCCAAATAATAACAAGAAACGCTTGGAATGCAGGCTCAAGCTGACTCAGCATGTTCCTTCATAGGTACAAGTAACAATGGTTATAACTATCGCATGGAGTTTAGTAATGGCTGGATCCTGGGGCTGCCCACCCCCCAGCTTATTCTGGCTTTTTCTTCACCATTCCTGGAAGTTTTGCTTGGATCCTACAGGAAAAGAAGTGGGGAGAGGGTGAGTTTTAAGGGCCAAGAGGTCAGCTGGATGCTCATTAACGTGTGACAGGCTAGTGGTTGGATCATGCAAGACGTACATGAGGCTACAAGCTACTGGACCGGAGGCTTTGGCTCAGGCAGCAGACACCCATGCTTTGAGACTTTCTACCTCTGCAGACATGATGGGTTGTCACTGCACTAGGTTTACTGAGGACCCTCTGTGTGGCTCTCTTCTTTCTGTTCAGCACCTGTTCTGAAGAGCATCTTGTGCCCCAAACGCTCTTGGTTTGAGGGCTTGTGGAGGAATTTAGCGCTCATGGAAGCTGTGGAAGAATCAGACTAGACTGAAAGCTTTTGGGGCTGGAACAGTCGCATGTATGTACACACGGACGAGCACACTACACTGGGAGCTACTGGAATGCAACTAAGGGAGGGATTTTCAAAGTGTCCAACTCCCCTTACAAGTCAATGGCAGTCAGGCATCTAGAGCAGAGGTGGCCAGACTATGGTTCGTGAGCCACATGCGGCTCTTTTACAGTTTAATGGTGGCTCCTGGAGCCCACCATGCCCCCCCTTCTCCACCTAACAGACGGGCAGGGAAGGGAGCTTGGGGCTTCTGCCCTCTGGCGGGGTTCTGGGCTTCAGCCCCGCGGGGTGCCCCTGCTAGGGCCCCGAGCCTTGGCAGGCGCCTCCCATGGGGCAGAAGTCTCAAGCTCCAACCCCTGCTGCAGGGCTGAAGCCCCGAGCCCCGGCAGGTGCGCCTGGCTCTCGAGGTTCTGAAGATTATCGTATGCGGCTCAGAGAGTCAGTAAGTTTGGCCACTCCTGATCTAGAGTGTCAGATGGAACAGGCCCAGTAGCTGTAATCGCTGCGCCAACCACCAACACGCCCAGCAGAGATGTTTCTCTTCTGCAGTAGGAAGCAGCGCTCACCAGCAGCGTTCCCTCTAATTTTTTATGTCCATGTGCGGAGTGAATTTTGCTTTGTGCACCAATATAGTGGTGCACAAAATTCATGTGATGGTGGTGGGGCTGAGGGGTTTGGGGTGGGGCTCGGGGTGGGGCTCAGAGCTGGGGCAGAGGGTTAGGGTGTGGGGGGAGTGAGGGCTCCGGCTAGGGGTGAAGGCTTTGGGGTGTGGCCGGGGATGAAGAGTTTGGGGTGTAGGAGGGGGCAGAGGGTTGTGGTGCGGGCTCTGGAGTGGGGCCAGGGATGAGGGGTTTGGGGTGCAGGCTGTCCCAGGGCTGCGGTGGGGAGAGAGGACTCCCCGCAGCCCTCTCTCGCCGCAGCAGCTTGGGGCCAAGGGAGAGGCACCTCTCCCCGGCTGCGGAAGCTCCAGTTGGGCTGGGCCAAGAGAGGGGCTCCTCTCACCAATGGCACCGATGGGGCCTGGGGAGGTGATCCTCTCCCCCAGCCACGGCAAGTCCAGGGCAGGTCCACACTGGGGCTGGCGAGAGGGGCGCCTCTCCCCGCCGCGATAGGTCTGTGCTACTTGCCTCCAAGGAAGCCTTACTAGCCAAGAGCAGTTTGAAGAGACAATGAACTTGCATGGTCCATATGAAGTCAGCAGATCAGGTGCACCCCAACCCCTACTAGCAATGCCTCTCAGTCAAGGCTCATTCACAACAGCTAAGTCCAGTTCAGACTGAGTCGGTACTGCTGCACCTAGAAGCCCCACTATGCTGGCAGCTGTACAGACAGAAGGTCCAATCCTCAGGAGAGGAGTCGTCCTCTGCCTGGGACTCCTGGCTCTCAGGTGACAGGGAAGGTGCTATTTTGATAGTGGGGTTTTTAGAGAAGTGCTGAGTGGACTCACTTTGCAATAATCGACTTAGTCTGGTCCCGGATGATTCCAACGTAGTGATCGATCTGCGTCTAAGGAAGAACCAACGGGTTAGGACAGCTGGAAGGGGAAGTGTATCCAACAGACAGCAGTAGTGCTTCCCTGAAAGGCTGCCTCAGTTTACCTTTTAAGGACAGATAGGGCCATCACGACCAACCTGACCTCTGTAACGTAGCTACCAACTTAGCATAGGCAAACTTTAGCTAGGACCATGGAGACTCCAGATATTTCTGCATTTCTCCTCTGACGAAGCCACTGCCTTAAATTCACATGCAGCACATG